CTATTTGTAGGTTTTATTTGTATCACAATTGCTAGATATCAGATTATAGTATTACCGTTCTACAAGCTTTGGCAGTTATCATCACAACCTCTGATGAACAGACAGGATCTCCAAGCTAGATAATGACCCCATGGAAGTGTTTTGTTTCTTTCCAATGTCTTGCTAGCATTCAAGTGACAGGACACTCACCTTTGGTCAAATCACTGAGTATTTGAATGAACAGTAACAGTGCTTGCTGACATTACTGCCAAGCCCATTAACTGTTTAGCTGCTACCAGAAACAAAGTTAAACTCCCATTCCCTTCTGCCCAGCCTGCACCCATATCGCCATAGGATGCAGGAAACTTCAAACAGGCTTAATTTCAGCTCTTACTTCTCCTCAAGCAATTTTAATTGTTCTTCATTTCCAACTTACATTTGATTTTACTTCAGTGTCATAGATAAGACTTTCCCAAAGGCCATGGAATTCAGCTGCAAAAGAAATATGTTATATCCTGTTTAGGATAAATCAGTCTGGAAACCTCTAACTCATCATTGCAGCTGACCGTAATCTGAAAACAAAACAGTTTTCAGATTACGGTCAACTAAAATGAAGAATTAAGAACACATATATGAAAACAAGTAAAGCATCTTGGGGAAAGAAAAAGTTATTTTTTTCAAAATGCAAACACCACTTTCTAACAGACAAATTCAGCATTTTCCCAGCTTCTATGTACTTCAATAACTGTGATGAAAAATTAATTTCTTAACATGAAATGAAAAATATCTTTCCTTCTATTCTCAGTAGAGGATGAACTTACATTTCACCAAGGGAACAATGAAAACTTGTGGTAGGAGGAATGTTCTAAGGCAAATTTTATCCATGTAGCTAAATAATGCATAAAAAACTAAAGTTGTCATTGGAGTATCAATCATTCCTAGCAGTTGGCTTCTAACTTTAAGCAAAGAAAAGCAAAAAAGACTGAACAACTATAAACCACAAAATTGTGGCAATAATGTCAAGGTATCAGATTTAACTCTTCCTGAAAACTAATGTAATAGATAGTTAGGCATTTCACAACACGGAACAAGTAGGAAATGTTTCAAAACTACTGTCCCTCTGAGCTAAAGCTCACATATGTGCTTCTCCTTTAGGCAGAGAATCCAACTTCCCCAGCACAAGACAGTAACAAGCAGGTCACAGAGGAAAGCCTGATTTTTTTCCTCTCCAGAAGACAAGGACTAAATCTCTTTACTTTGTTTGTCTGTTTCATGCATAACAGCAGTACTATCATGAGGGCTGGAAGCCAGCAGTGAGCTCTGGAAAATTAATATTTTAAGTGATAAGCTTCTTGTGGGTCTTCAAGTTAAATAAAACTTGAAATGCAACCACCAGTGTTAAAAACTTGCATGCTTCTGATTATGACTATATGTTTTAGACCACAAGATCAGTTATCTCCACACATCCACAAGAATTACAGAAATAAAGGATGTGTTTTGGAATCACCTGCAGCAGTTCAGTCAAAACCACAAAGGAAAAAAGTCCAAAATTATTTGTTCCATAAAGAAAAAGTCCAAACATAAATGTTCTATAGACAAACAATAAATATAAATAATACCTTTAATAAGTAACTATAAACACTTCTAGTCTTTGCAATATTTTCTTTATTGCTCTAGAGCTCCCAGAAATGCCACATAGGTACCTGCTGGTAGCATCCAGTGGTGAGCTGCAGTGATATCCTCATTCTCTTCTTCAAGATTTTCAGAGGTTGGTCCTTCTTCATTCAGATGAAAAATATGAAGAGAAAGAGTTCTTGTGCTCAGGTCAATAGGCTAGAATGAACATTAAAAGATTTGTTACCTGTCATATTTCTCATTCAAAGCTAGCTGCACAAAAGAAAGTTACAGTTCACAGCTGGCATTTATCTCTGAAGCCTACTACTTCTGTTTCAGACTTTACTAAGCAGTAACAAAAAAATTTAGCCACTTTTTCCTAGTTATACCAGTCAGCCCAAGAGGAGATACTGCATCAACCTATAGACCTTGTCTTGCTTTTGCCCTTAGGGCACCACCAGTCTACCCCCAACTAGTTCAGGGGCACATAAACAGAGGTGCATGTTCTTGACCAGGAATACCTGTCTGTCCTTCAGTTTCAGCTCTGTATCCACAATTGCCACAGACTGCACGTTGTTGTTAAGGAAAGGGTCATCAAACTCTGTCCACTTGTAATCACCAAACACAATGTTGTGTCTGTTCAACAGCTTTAAGACACTCATCCTAATATCTTCTTTCTTGGCCACACTAACAAGAAACAAACATCATTACTTTATGGCATTGATATTCATAAGGAAATTTGAATTTGTGTTAGAATGCATTATTTCATACATGAGGCCTTCATGGGAAACAGCTTCCATATCACACACCAAAAAACCCAACCAACCAACAAACAAAACCCCCAATCTAAAAAAAAAAAAAACAACACAAAACACACCCAAACCCACTCAATCCTCCTCCAACAGTCTACAGGAGAAAAGAACCTATCAGTTTCAGTCTGTCTGCACAAGCAACAAGCTAGATAGTTGTTTTTAATTTGTGCATTAAAAAACACAATCCAAATAATACCACTTGCTCTGCTTGAGGACATATCAGGGGATACTGAATGAAACAGCTAGAAGACTTCAAGAATGGAAAGCAGTTATGCAATCTGTGTTTCAGTAAGACCCAGAAAGACTCAGAGCCAAATTACAGACTGAATTTGGTAAGCTTAGCTTGGAAGCTCCATTACACCATCAGGACAGTTAAAACATCAGGACAGGGACATAATATAAGGAGAATTCCAGAAGAGACAAAAACTACAGGAAAAGAAATATAATTTGAAGATTTAACTTAATTTTGCAACTTCAATCATCTATAACCAGCTCAAATTCTGAGTTTTCTGTTAACCCTGGCAAAAATAGCACAGTGGATATTTTACACCTTGATTTTTCTAACACCTCAGACATGCTCTCCTATATTCTCCAGATATCCAAAAATAGTAAGATAAGAACTGGATAATGGACAAGGAGGGTTGTCCCCATCCTGACTGTCCAGCTCAGAGGGCTGAGATTAGTATAAAGATTAAGCAGAACTGTCAGTAACTTGGATGGGGAAAGGCATTGTGGTGCTATTAGCATTGGGACCAGCACTGTTTTTGCACCCTTGACAATGGGATGAAAAGTACCTGCATCAAGTTTACGAACAACACCAAAGCAGGGAGAACTGTTAGTATTCTGGAGGGCAGGGCTGCTCTTCAGAGGGACCTCTGCAGGTTGGCAATATGGTTTGACTGGAAGCTTTTGATGTTCAATGAAGGTAAACATGAAATCTTAGCTCTCATCCACTGCCCAGATAACAGAACAGATCAAAGGCCAACTGGATGACATACAGTTTTGCAGAAAAGGGCCCATGGCTACTGTTGGACAAGTTGGCAATAAGTGTGCCCTTGCTACAAATGAGGACAACTTATTTGAGACTCTGCTACCAAGACTACATATGTTAGGGAAAGCAACTGTTTCCATCCACTGGCTTTGTAAGACCGCATCTGGAGTACTGTGAACAGTTGTGAGCACTGACACAAAAGAGACAAGGATAAACTGGGGCAAACCCTGAATGTGGCAAAAAACTTCATTGTGAGACTGGATGACGTGACCCACAAGGTGAAACTGAGCGAAGTTATTTGTTCAATCTTAGGAAGAGACACAGGTGAGGAAACGCCCAGGAGAGTACAGAGAAGGCAGAACTGGGTCCTGTGGGCTCTTGGAGGTGCGTAGAACAAGGCCAAGAGGAAACAGGCACAAGTGGCAGCAAGCAATACTCTGATCAGAGACCTACTGATTTACTAAAATATGAACATTGATATCCAACTAAGACAGAAAAACTCTTTAATAGATTAAAGTTAGAAAGTGTATGTTTCTTGCAACGGCCGGGCAGTACATGGGATAATTCCTTAATGCACACTGCAAGAATCACAGGTATTACAATGCCTTTTTATTTACAGAAGCCTGAAAAAAAAAAAAAAGAAAGCAAAATCCGAACCCCGGCAACTCCCCCGCCTTGCCCCCGAAGCCAAATGGCAAAAAGGCTATTAAGCATGCGTAGTTTTGGTCCCTGAAATGAGTCGGGGGTCCATTTTGGGGAGGGGTCTCCAAAATGAAGAAGTAAAATAAGCCTTCATCGTTCTGACCATTCTACCTTTTCCATACATACGTGACAAATAAATCCTTGGTAGAACTCGTAGTTTCCTGTATTCAATGGGTCCCTCAAGTATGGGAAGTCTGCAATGTTTTTATGTCCCTGAGATCTGTTTATCACATTCTGTTTTTCATGATGAGCACAGCTACCCAAACATAGAATTGTCAAGCAATGAGTTAATAGATCCGGCTACTGTTAACTATGAAAAAAAAAGACTATTTATCTGCCTCAGCTAACTCAGCAACATCTAATTTAACTACCATCTTAATTTTCCTAAAACGTTTGATGCTTCAAAATTAATGTCTCATTACCTGCTCGACTTCTGGTGAATTTCCACATGGATCTGAACGCCGTCACACACATTTGGGAGCGCTTGCTTCAAATCCCCAGCAGCGTCTTCCATCTCTCTCGCTCCTAGGGGAAAAGCGATACCAAAGAGAAGCGAATTCCAGCGACTGCTAGACGCCCACGGCACGGACGGCCCTTTCCCGGTGCCCCGGCCAGGTGCACAGCGGCCCCGCAAAGAGCGGGTGCAGGATCGGGACCGGGATCCGGATGGGCACTTCCCTCCCTCAGGAGACGGCGGCGCGGTCGGGCGCACGGACAGGCGGCTGCTCCCGCCCCAGCGCTGGAGACAGGGAATCACCTCAGGCAGGCACGGCCTCGGAGGCGACGCGCGGAGCGGCGGGGATTGCGAGCGCGGGCGAGCCTGAGGCAGCGGGCAGCCGCGGCGGCAGCCCCGGTTTGTAAAGGGCGCGCTGGGCGAGGCAGGGGCGGCCCCTCACCCGGATCTTCCTCCGCGGAGGCGGGGCCCGCCACAGCGCTTCCGGCGGGGCCGGCTGCGCTCCACCATGGGCAAGAAGCACAAGAAGCACAAAGCCGAGAAGGCAGAATGGCGCTCGACCTCCGCCGCCGCCTACAGCGGTAAGGGCCTGAGGGGCTTCTTTGTACCGGGGACGCGCCCGCCCCTTCCCCCGGCGCGGCTGCGGGCGGGGCCCCGCGGAGACCGCTCCGAGTGCCGGAGCTGCCGGCCGCGGGGCGCCGCGGGGAGTCCGCGGCGGGCGGTGCGGTGTGAGCCGGAGCGTCCCCGTGCTGCCCACGGCTGCTCCTGCGGGGATCCGGTCGCTGCGGTGCTTGGACGATGCTCAATTTCAGCTTGCTCTGGGCACCTTGCGACGTCTTATGTCTTGCAGGTTTGTGGAGCATCACAACGTAAGACGTGCAGAACGCCTGTTTGTTAGCTTGGATTTGTTAGTCTTAGCTATTGTTTTTCTTTTCAAACGTATAGTGTATATTTTCGATTTGCAGCGAAATCTTATAAACAATAGTTCTAGAAGAAGCTTTGGAGCTAGGCTTGTTTAGCCCGGAGAAAAGGAGGCTCAGGGTGGGGCCTTGTCACTGCAGCTGCCTGAAAAGAGGGTGCAGCCAGGTGGGGGTCAGCCTTCTCCGGGCAACCACGGCAGGACGAGAGGACATGGCCTCAAGGTGCACTAGGGGAACTTCAGGTTGGACATTGGGAAAGAATTGCTTTAAAAAAAGGGTGATTATGTATTAGGACGGGCTGCCCGGGTGGTGCTGGAGTTACTGTCCCTAGAGATGCTTAGGAAAAGATTGAATGTGACACTTAGTGCCATGATCTAGTTGACATGTAGTGGTTGGTCACAGATTGGACTTAATCTCAGTGCTTTTTTCTGACCTAATTGAGACTGATTCTGTAATTGCTGTGTGCTGTTAGCTCCCTGTGCATTTATTATTATTATTTTTTAATTTAGATTACGTGGACAAGCCTTTGGAAAAACCCTTAAAGCTGGTTCTTAAAGTTGGAGGTAATGAAGTCACTGAACTCTCTGGGTCAGGGCATGACTCTAGTTACTATGATGATCGATCAGATCATGAGCGAGAACGACATAAAGAAAAGAAGAAAAAAAAGAAGAAAAAGTCAGAGAAGGAAAAAGAAAAGCATCTAGATGATGAGGAAAGAAGAAAGAGAAAGGTAAGCTGTGGTTTTTAGAATTCAAATACACCAGCCTTCATGCTTGCTTATCAGGTTTAAAACCTGGTGCAGAACTTTGTTTAACTTAGAACAAGCTTATTGTTTGGAGATAGCACTTCAGAAATGTAGAAAACCTTTGGGTGTGAGTGTACTTTTGCCATTTAAAGGAGATACCTTGTGTGATGATTCTATGAACAAAGCTTCCTTCTTTTACATTTTATTTTCCTTATTTATTTACCTTGAGTGTATGCTTCTGTTTTTCAGTTGGTTCTTTTGTATTTTTGCCTGGTCACAAACATGTTTTGCTACCATTTTAGGGAGAATATTTTCAGCTTTTCAAATCCAGGCTGTAATAACATTTTGGATATAGGCCAAGTTACTGGACATTGAATTGATATGCTTATTCAAAACAGCTTCTGAACTGTTGAGTACTGTAGTACATTACATCTTTAGTTCTTGGAATAACCTGTGTGCTGGGCTTTGTCAATTTGTTAGTAGCAAGTAGGGTGGTCACCTTAGTTGTCTGTGTTGAACACTGGGGAGTTTGATTAAAATCAGCAGTGAGGCATTCACGGCACAGTTACTTGTGCAATTCAATTTTAAGATAACTTCTTTTGCGTAGTAATGGTTCTCTGACCTTTATGCTTTTTTTAATTCTTTCCTGTCATGTAGTTTTACTATTCTTGTGTGACAGGGTTTTTTTTGGTGCTACTTTGTGCGTATTTGTTGCTAACATCTAACAATTCCAAATAATACAAGCGTAACAAAAAAATCATCTGGAAGTGACAGATCTCATAGGATCGTTCAGAAGCTCTTGAATACAGCACAGACAGTGCACAATTAGTACAGGTGTTTCAGGCTGGGACTTGAAATGTAGCAAAACCAGCTGTCTTTCATACATGATTTTGAAGTATCAATTGCCTTTACTGAGTTGTGTTTGGATTTTTTTCCCTAGAACTTCATGATTAATACATTCAAAATAAGCTAATGGATAGTTAAGTAATAAACTGTAGGCTAAGGAAGGTTAATGAAAGTGTGCTTTTCTGTGCAAATATGGATAGTTATTGTGGGATTTCAGGAATGACTTAGGTGTGCCTTTGCTTTGAAACTCGGAAAGAAATCATTAATTGCCACCACTGTTTTCTTATGGTTCTTTTGTTGGCTGGGTTGTCGCATGCTTTACTCATTCCTGTTTAATGTGACAAACAACAAAAATACATCACTGAGAGTGGAGCCACAGATTGATCTGTACTCAATAGTAAATTAGCTTTCTTTGCTCTATGGTCTAGGTTATTATTGTGCAGTTTTACATATAAATAGCTTCAGAATTCATCTTTTCAATTAACATGCGGGAATGATAGAACAATACTGTATCAAATACAAAGCAGCAAAAGATGAACAGTTTTAATTGGAGAAAAAAATTGAAAAAGTGATAGTGAAAGTGTATGCAGTATTGTTTAAACTGTATTGTGATTGGATATTGAATGAGTATTCCAAATTAAAACCATAATTGTTTCTTACCTTTTGATGTGTGGGATTGCACAGTTCAAATACATCCCTTTAAAATATGTCTTCTCTGCTGTCCTAGGAAGAAAAAAAGAGGAAAAGGGAGAAGGAACAGTGTGATACGGAAGGAGAAACTGATGACTTTGATCCTGGGAAAAAGGTGGAGGTTGAACCTCCTCCAGATCGTCCTGTCAGAGCATGCAGAACTCAGCCAGGTAAACAGTGTGAAAGATTAAATTATTTTTGTTCTTTTTAAAAGCACACAAAACAAAGCTTTTGTCAAAGGTAAAATTTTAATGAAGATTTACTGAAATATAGGGACTTTACTTTTTCCAACATCCAGAACTTTCTGCTGTCTGAAAAGTTAATATTCCTCTTGGTGCTTCCATGTTTTAGTAGGTTTGTTTTCAGGTGACTGATGTTGCCAAGGACATCTGTCTCTGGCCTCTGTTCCTTGGCAGGATAAACCTCATTATAAAAGTATTATTGCACATAGTGGTCCCCTAATTCCTTCTCCTTAGCATTTATAACGTAGTGATCAGAATGTCTGAAACTAAGTTTCATGTAGTTCAAGGGAAAAAACTCTCATGGAGACTTCTTAGGTGTTACCATATTTTTTTGTTTTCTAACCTATGTGGAGTTTTAGTATCTCTATTCTCATGGAAAGGAAGTTGTGACAGTGTATCTCTAAAGACTGTAGACACCACATACCACCCCTGTTTTTCATTTACAAATCTTCTTAAGTTCTTATCACCAAACCAAAATATTTGTCAGTTGTATGTGCATCTTCTGCATGTTTAATCCTTTTATATTTTGCCTTGTTTTTTCTACCTGTAGCCATTGCTTGATAATTAAAACTCAGCATTACTCAGTGGAAACCTTTATTTGAGAGAATTTTCAATTACATCAAGATCTCTGTTATACATAAGTCTGAAAATGGGACCTAGTAGCAAAAAAGTAGTGTCTTTAGGAATATTGTGAGTCTTGTCTTTGGAATACTGCCCTTTGACTAGTCAGGTAATCCCAAGGAATTTTATAATTGTGACCACACATTAAATTGAGGAATAGTGGCCATCAGCTGTCAAGGTAACTGAAATTTTCAGGTCAGAGTTTTATGTCTCTGAATAGTCAGGAGCCTTAAAAACTGACAAGATAAAAACTATTTCCATTATTCTCTTTTCATCTGGTTGTAAAATGGTATTGGAAAGCATATAAATTACCTGACCCATTCTGTTTAAGAAAGGAAACGTCTTTCCTCTATCATGGATAGTTGGATTTTCAATTATTGATGCTTCATTAATGTTTCAAACATCACTTAAAGCCAGTCTCTCTGAAGTAACAGGTAATTAACATGTAGTGTTTCTTGTGTGATCTGTACAGGAAGTGAAATTGTAATTGTTACCTCTCTTGCCAGTAAATCTGTATCTGTTTGTCACTCTGTGATTGAAAGGTTTAGAGAATTGCATGGGGTTTATGGTGAAGAAACCATGAAAATTGCACAGCGAACATGTTGTAAGAATATGGATTTCCCAACTGCAGTATTTGAGCAACAAAGTTTCACTTTTTCTGCAAAAATATATAACATAATTGTTTTAATCTTATTGATACATATTCTTAGAGCTGCTAAACTTAGCACTACATCTGACTTAATGGGTACTAGGCTTTAATGCGATAAGAAAAAAAGCCCAGAAAATAAAGGAAGAAGAAATAGGTACTGTGTGCTTAGATATCTGATGTGCTTCTGCTTTGAAATCCATGTTCATACATCAGCTTCAGATCAGTACAAGCTGTATTTATAGTAAGATTTTCTCTCTGGTACTTATATTTTTAAATTAAAAAATATACGCATATGTGGTTTCATTGCACTTATCGGGGTTTTCATCTCAAAATGCAGCTGAAAATGAGAGCACACCAATCCAGCAATTACTGGAACACTTCCTTCGCCAGCTTCAAAGGTAGTAAACGTTTTTGTATCTTCAGCTGTGTTGGCTGTGTCTGATGCGTATCTATATGTGTTACCTGGCAACTTCATATCCTGGTATTCTGTTTGAGAGTAGTGCCTGGCGACTGACTAAGAGATTTGTTAACCTTTGCAACCATGTCAGACCTGGTTGTTTTTAAAGATAAGTTGAGGATAATTATTATCTAGTTTGCAGTTCTAGCACTGGGCAGGAAAATAAGTGTTTTGGGCAGATTATACATTGCTATTATAAATTTATTAAATATTAATGACTTAGTTTAGGGATTAAAAGCCAGTTATAACTCTACAATACTTTAGAAGATTGGACTCTTTTACTTAAATTTTGTTTTATTCAGTGTCCACTGTCAGATACAAAGCAAATTTAGACCTGGTTACTTGATAATCTTCTAAATTGGGAGAGGCTTTTTATTTTATTTTTTTCTTAAACCTGCAGCTCATGTTTAAAAAAAAATCCTTTTTTATTTTGTAGCAATAAGCTGAATTTGGAACTAATTTTAAAAAGTTGAACATTGTATTTATTTTTAGAGGACATAGTGAACAAGAAGAATTGAGCTTTTTTCCTCAATGAAGTCAAAAGACAAAGTTGGAGTGTAGAGACACAGAAAACATACAAGAATTAAGAAATACAAGAACTAGCTTGAATTGATCATTTGATCATTGAATTGAAAGACATTTTAATGAAAATTTTCAAAAATTTCTTTTTGAAATAAGTCTACATATGTGAAATCAGAGTGCTCTCCTTTATCAGGAAATTTTCAAACATGCATTTATTTTATGAGAATGTTTTTTGTGGTTTTTTTTAGTAGTACTGTTGTGTTATAAATGTGATGCAAAAGCAGGAATCATTTTGTTTGCTGCTGTAAATCTAAATTTATTGTTTTTATTTTTAGGAAAGATCCTCATGGGTTTTTTGCTTTTCCAGTCACGGATGCCATTGCTCCTGGATATTCCATGATAATAAAACACCCTATGGATTTTGGTACGATGAAGGAAAAAATTGCAGCGAATGAATACAAATCAGTCACTGAATTCAAGGTGAATTAATAAAGATTTAGATATTTCACAACTAGTAAGAAACTAAAATTTTTTTTTTCATGTGTGGAAGTCTTTGTTACATTAATTAATGCTCATTTTTTTCCAGAACTGAGCACTTTTGTCTATTCAGTTTGTTCCAAATTATCTGTCAGATTCTACTACTTACTAGCATAAGTCCTGTGGAATTTATGCTGCTAAACTTCAACAGGAGTAAGACTAGCACAAAGAATTAAGCCCCTGAGCTCTTTTTTTTGTCCGTTTTTTAATGTAGACCTTGTTAGATTGATATAAATGTCATTTGGACTTGTCTGTAAGAAACCTGTGGATATACTGAAGCGTCTTGTATATGAGTAAATAATAAGTACATATTTTTTATCTTTAATTATCCTGGTTTTCGCATAACTTCATTTGAAATTGTCTTCTGGCAGAAACTTACTTGTCAAGTTTATTTGCAGCTTAACTTGGTTATTAATTGTATTGTTATTGCTGTAATAATTAATTAGATACATCATGGTTTTACAGACAGTGCTGTAAGAAATGTTTTCATAGTATTGCTAGCTCCTGAAGGAGAGTTTTCCTTAACTGATTTATGAAAGTCATGAATTATTAGCAGCTTTTGGAATTGCTTTTTCCTAGACTGATGTTGATATGATGGTAACCTCGGCAGGAGAGCATTGGCTTGTTTCTCAGGGTTGATCTCTTTTTTTGAAAGGTCAGCAAGGTGAGAAAAGAATGGTTTACATTTCTTACAGATGCCTTGACAAAGATTATTACTCTGTTTTGTTAAATATGCTGTAGAGATTTATAGGAAATAGTGAGAAAGGATTCATGATAGCATTGCCATCAGCAATGCCTTAAGGTTTCTAAATTCTGTCTTGCTGGATTGTCTTATTCAACAGCTTAAAAAGGAAGTTTGAGTGGGAGCTCTGTGACTGTTGAGTTACAGGCAAGGTTGCAGTATTGAAACTAATGGGATAGAAACCTAAAAAAAAAAATTGCAGTATTTTTTACTAGTTCTTTCCTCAAGGATTTAGCTTCTGCTAGTAGGTGGAGGAGTGATAAAAGATTCTTTAGAGTCTGCCCATGTTAGAGCAAAAAAGGAATTGGACTCCCTTTATAGATACATGAGGGTACCTAATTGCACAGAACTATAAGCCATAACCTTAATACAGAAATGAAGTTTGTAGGTTTTTAACTTCTGAAACAAAGTCTGCTCAAAAGTTACCTGTCTGACATAACTTGTTGAGGCTAGTCACAAAAGAATAAATAATCTGTCTAAGAGAATAGTCTGAAAGCACTGTCCTGCATTTAAAAGAGGGGCAATTACTGCAGAGCACTCATTTTGCTTCAGAAAAAAAAGGGTCTGCTTCAAAGCTGGGCAAGCAAAACACTGGCTGTTTCTGCAGCACTTTAGTTTGGTCGGTCACCTTCTCAGTTTCTGTCTTTGTGATGGTCTTGGTAATTGAGGGCAAAGGGCTTGTAATGCTGTAGAAAGTTACCTTGGTAGCTCAGTACAGTGTTTGGTCCGTTTAGCCCTTTTCATCCACTTAAGTTAAGGAGAAGATACTACTTTGGCCTTCAGGAAAGAGTGTTTTTTATAACCAAAAGCCAGTTCCAAAGGAAACTGAGCATCTTGGAGAGGTAGAAGAGGCTCAAACCTTTGCAATTCTGCTTTTGGCTTGTGTTCATGAGCCTACTGCTAGAATATTACTGGGTTCTTCAAAGAGCTGTCAAGATGGAGTGGTATCTTGCAGTCATTTAACAAAGAACCTGAAATGTTTACAGTTCTTTTGTTTTGTATTTTACAGGCAGATTTTAAACTGATGTGTGATAATGCAATGACGTACAACAGACCAGATACTGTTTACTACAAGCTAGCCAAGAAGATACTGCACACAGGCTTTAAGATGATGAGCAAAGTAAGAGACCTATTAAAAACAAAAAGAAACTTTGGGGTTTTTTATGTTACCAGACTTAAAAGGAACAAAGTAACAATAGTGAATGTTGTTGTATCCATCTGTGATGAATTACAGCAGTGCCCTTTAGTGCTGCTGTATTTAAGGGCTTGACAGCATTTTTGTTATAACCTAGTAATTTTTGCTTGTTTCTCAACCTTGCCTGCACCACTGAAGTCTGTAAGAGCTTCTTTCAGTGGAAGCAGTTAAAATCCACATAATATCAAACTCTGCCATAAAATCCTGCTTCTGGCTGAAACTTTGGAAACAAGATCTCATTTAAGTTTTACTTCTGTGTAAACAAGAAAGCAGTACTTTTTTGAAGGTGTTGGGTGTTGGGAAGTTTCCAGAAGTATCACAAATACTTTTTACTCAGGTACAATTGTTGGCTTGTCAAATGAAGGTTTCTTTGTGAGCTGCTCTGTGAGCGCGCATGTGTGTGTGTGCATGTGTTACAGTGATGGTAAGTTTTGTGTCAAATAGTTGTTTTTGCATATGCAGTTTGTTTGTTTGTTTGTTTCTCTCTTGATAGCTGGGCTGCAGAAATTCTGATGCCATGCTGCCATGACCAAATCATGTTGCATCGCCATTGGAAACGAGACATTAAGAACAAAATAAGGCCATGGCCATTCCCATCCCATCCCATTATCATAGCATCTTGGCTATGAGGGAAAGGTTAAGTCCCTGCCGCTCTGTCCTTTCTGATTCTAGGAACGGCTGTTAGCTTTGAAGCGCAGCATGTCGTTTATGCAGGACATGGATTTTTCTCAGCAGGCAGCTCTTTTGGGCGATGAAGACACAGCAGTTGAAGAACCAATTCCTGAAGTTGTTCCTGTACAAGCAGAGACTACCAAGAAATCCAAAAAGCAAAATAAAGAAGTTATTAGGTAAAGGTTTTAATGGGCATGCTTACTGGCTTGTTGCAGCTTTTGTAGTATTACACAGCAGCAAAGAACTGAGGAAAAAACTCAGCATTTTTTCCTTGAGGTCCATAGGATAAATGGGCAATTTTATTTTATTTTATTTGTTTATTTATGGAACTTGTTTAATAACCCAGTGATTCCTAACTTGGAGCAAACAATTCAAAAGATGACTGCATTTTCATTCAAACGCTTAAAATTAATCTCTATAGAGATATTTTCATTCTTATTTATATCTGTATTAAATAATGAGTGATGTCTTCTCATGATGGTTTAAAATGTTATTTTATTTTGGATATAGCTACACATACCTTTTGCATTTTGTCCCTTTTTTTCCTTTCCTAAAGCAGTCCATCAAAATGTAAGAGGTTCTTCCCAGGAGGGCAGATCAGCGAGTGATTTTTTAAAAAATTTTAACCTTGTCTTACAGCTTATGAAAATACAGGAGATTATTTCTGGAGCAGATGATAACATCTTCCCAGTGGAATCTTATTAAACTCCTTGGTAAAATACATTGCTAGTGCAATAGTAATCCTCCAGCTAATAGGTAGACCCATGTCACAAATTCATATTTTTATAGCTAGAATCTAATGTTAATATATTTTTTGAAAATCTGAATTTAGGCAATTAATTTTATGAGATTTTAGCAGAAACCACGATATACAAGCAACTTATATTATTCAGTGTACTTGCATAGGCATCCAAAGATAGATTGAATTTAAATTGTAAAACATTATATCAGCTGGAATTTTATGGGAAAAAATATTGCAACAGAGCATCAGTGGTCATGTTGTAAATAACCCAATCATGTAGACATGTTCTGCAGTTTCTTTTTAAATCTTCAAAGTAAAAAAAAGTGAAATAAAAAAAGTGAAATAAAAAAAAGTTTCCATTTTTTTTAAGTGAACTTTAGTGTGCTCATCAGCCACTTTTGATTTTTTACACTTTCAGCATTTTTGTAATCCTTAGTGCTGATGGAGGAAGTAGTATTCTAATTTAGGGTTTTTTTGGAAATAGAAGACTGCAACATGTATCTTCAAAAATAATTTTAACCAGTAATTATCTGTGGTGGAAGCTATTCTAATGATAGCATACAACAACTAATCTGTTGCTGTATCATAGAGAATTGAGAAAGTGTAATTTGTACTTTGTTTAATGGATTGTGGATGGAAACCAACTCAAAGCACCTCTTTGTAAACAAGTCTTGAGGGGGAGGTACTTTGGTTTTTTGATTGTTTCTATTTTTTTAGAAGACACAGTAATTTGGTTAATGTGGTGTCCAGCATTAATTCTTGCATAAACTCTGCCACAGGAATAACTTTGTTCTTTGTCACAGAGCAAGAAATTGAGACTGCCAAACCATAGAGCGCAGCTCTGTCTTTATTGTCTACCTTAACGTACATATCAGACAGTTAAAAATTATGACCTTTAATTTTGTCCTGGTACCAGTTTATCAGCAATCAGTTGTAGTATAAATTTACCTTTTCTGTTCTTCTCAATATTTATGTAACTTTAATAGCTGAAATAAATTTGTTTTTTTTCGAAAGTGACTTGAACTTTTAAATATGTGTAATTTTGCATCTGTAGGATTGATACTGTATTTTTTAATGAACAATAAGACCCTTAGAGGGTCTTAAACCTAATAGCAGTTATTTTTGCCTTCATATTTCATGGTGACAGAGGAGTTGAAATCAGTGTTTACAGAATGTTAAAGCAGCTTAGACCTCTATATAAAGCAAGAAGTGACTTGATCACTTGAACATCCTAATGTTTAAGTAGTTTTTGAAAATTTTGTTTAGGATGTTGCAGTTTTCTGAACATTCTCTCAAAATTCTTGTCCTTTAAATACTCTGTAGTGTGTGATAGAAAGTGCCAGTTGTTGAGGAGTTTCCTGCTGTGTACACCATTTCTTAACTTTTCAATGAAACAAAATAGTATATAACACGTTTGTCTCATAATAGTATGATCCTGTGATCTTTTTATTGTCTTTAATAGCAAAACTTACTTGTGTATCGGATCTGAATCTCTATACAGAGAGAAATTCTTAGCTAAGCAAATGGAAGAAGATAATCCAGGAGAGAGAAATGGATGTGGTGTGAGGAGATGCTCTACCCAGTATCTAAGGTGTTTGGCCCTAGTGTCTAATGTCCATATAATGCCCTGAAATACTTTGATGCACAACATTTATTTTATATATAAAATATAATGAAGACTTCCATATTCTATGATATCCTCACATTTGTCTTTATGATACTGCCTTTTTTTGATTTTATGTGATAGCTGTGTCCTGTTCCATCCTTGGATATGCTTATTTGCTATGATTTTATTGGTTTGGAGCTTTAATGCAAAGGGATCTACTGAAAGATAAATGTTCAATTCTATAATTTTAGGTACAAGCAGTTGTGTGATTGATACAGATTAGGAATGTTAATTGCCAATACTAAAACCATAGGAATTAAAGGACTCCCTTTTAGACTGGGAGTTGTGTCCTACTTCTGCAAGCAGCTATATGACATAATCATCATAAATGCAGCCTGTTGGGTTTTTTTTCTGATAAGCAACAGTTTCTATCCCTCTTTACTTAATTTATTTTCTGCATCTTCCTGTTTGTAATTTTGGAAAATAGCATATATGTGAATGTGAGAGACTAAGGATGCATACAGCATTCACCTTGTATTAATGCCAGTTTTGATCCTAATCTCTGTTTTGTACTTCATTTTATACTTCATTTTCATCAGGATACAGAAACAAATTTTTGAAGTTAGTAGTTTGGTAGTTTGCAGCTTCTGTTGCAAAACTTCATAATATGATTATAATGATTATATGATTATAATTCCACTTAAATGCTGAAGTAGACTGACACTGGGAGAAGAGTGGGACTGATTGTTCTATTAAGCAAAGCCAGAATTGAGCCCTCTGTTTTGTTTTAGGTTTTAATTGCTACAGCTCCTCTTCTTCTCTTTTTTAGCTGCATTTTTGAACCTGAGGGGAACGCGTGCAGCCTGACAGACAGCACTGCTGAAGAACATGTCCTTGCACTAGTGGAACATGCAGCAGATGAAGCTCGGGATAGGATCAATCGATACCTACCCAATAGCAAGGTCTACTGCACATGGCGCTTCCAGTTTGTGCCTGACTATTGAATGCTTTGTTTCATGTTAGGAAACAGGCTTTAGTCTTAGACTTCTTGGGACTGGAACATCTGGGATGTGTGTTCTGTGTGGCATACCGATACTGCTGTTGTCTATCATTTAGTTGCCACTGAGAGCCACCGTATGGGCTCCTAATTGAATCTTGGGTTCTATTGTATGTTGAGCATCTTTGGAAATTCACTTGCAGGAAACAGTGAAACGTTCGATCTTGAATTGCAGCCCTTAGCATTGAAAGTGATTAAAATAACATCACACTTCTGTTATTGTTGCAACCTCAGAAAATGCAAACTATGTCATAGGTTGAAGGGCTATTAGGATTCCCCCTCTCTCCCTGCCCCTCGCTCCACCCAAGGAATTAACATATTTTTAGTGTTGAATTACTGTTTTTAATGAGGAGAGTCTGTAAACTCTTACAGTTTTGTATTTAGAAGTAGTAGTGTGAGTACCAAATACAAAGATCTTTTATTGACTAGGTTTAGATAGCAAGTTTTACAGTCCTGAATGTGATGCTGATGTTATTCCATGTATTTGAGTTTTGTGCTCCTCCAAGGACAAGCTTGGTGGTGCTGTGGGTGCAGTTCTTTCTGGAGGATCAATTTTTTTAGTTGTAATGATAGTGGCACATTCCTTCATTTCCTTATGCTAGGATTGGAATAAATGCTCCAGGCATTCGCTACAGGTCTGTACTGAGATACATTTAGTCTATTTCCCTTGAATTTTATGGAGACTTATTCCCACCTTTGCTCCCATTTCTCATCTATCACTCTAGTGGTCACTGCAGTCAGAAATGAATCAGGATGTGTCTGCATCCTGCACTTTCCACCTCTTTAAAACTATTGCAGAAGAAACTTTACTTTGAAGCAAAAGTGGTGTTGTGTCTTCAAACTTAAATGTCCATTTCTTGGGCAGTGGCCCTGATTATGCAGTCAATTTAGGCTCAACTGGATTATGAAATAAAATTGCAAAGAGTAGTTGGGTGAAGGCTTACTTTCAATGCATTTCTGTTTCTTTGGATAATGAGAAGACTTACTAGAATTGAAGGCTATTTGAAACCTCCAAAGTAAGAGTTGCTTTTTAAATCTCTTCAAAGCAATATTGTTGATTGATGCAGTCAGTTTTGCACTGTTCAAGGAAGTTTCTCAAGGTGTGCAGCTCTTAGTTGCTAAGGCTGTTAAGTGAGCTTGACAGCCCCACTGCATGTCCCACTGAATCTTGGTAACCCTGGCATGTTCTTGGAATTCAGCCAGTGCTCACTTTTGCCATCAGTTAAAGATATTGTTCTTGTTCATTCTCTTTCCAGCGCCTCTCGCCTCCGTTTTTATTGTATGCCGGTATTAGCTTTGGCCTTCTATATGGAGAGAGTTTTAAACTTTTTCAGATGGAGGGGGATATAAAACAAAATAGTAGAGATTTGTTGTTCACTTCCTTGGGAATATTTACTAATATTTTTGTAGGAGACAACAGTTTTAATTTTCCCTTTATATTGAGAGGTTAGAGTGGGTTTTTTTTTCTCAATTCACGTGTAGTTGGTTTCTGACATTAGCTTTGCTTGTTGCATCAGATCTGGCTCTAACTTTCCAGAACTTGGTGTGCTCTGTTGTCTTTCGCATCTGTCTTGAGCATTGTGCTTGTCTGCTTCAGTAGGTCTGTCACAGCTGGAAGAATTTGTTAGTGTTAATAAAAGTACTTCTAATTAGAGAAAGTTGTGGGCAAGACATGAAAACAAGCAGTTTAATCTATATTTGAAAATAAGTAGTGACTTTGTTTGTGGATAGGAGTTACAGGTCTGCTTCCAAAAAATGTGTTCTGACTTTGCAGTCACAAAGGCTGGCTCCGTGCTAATGACAATGGAATTGGGTTTGTCTTGGGTGAAAACTTTAGATCTGACTTACAAAGATGAATAAGGCATTGTATATATGATGTATGAACTTCTCCTAAGTCTTCTGTTCTGAAACACATGCTATGTGGTGTTAACTAGTTGTGACCCAAGGTTCTCTGTATGAAAAAGGAAATACCAAAGTGCAGTATCTCAATACAACTAAAAATGCTTTTTATAGTTTTCTCTGTAAACGGGCAGCTCCTTATTTGAATGTGAACAGTTTTGAATGATTCCTCCTGTATCTTTCTGGTTCTGTTCACAGATTGGTTATCTGAAAAAAAATGGAGATGGAACTTTATTATTTAGTGTAGTAAATTCATCTGATCCAGATGCAGAAGGTAAAAGCCATACTTTTTCAAGAAAACATTTCTAGTCTTGAATGTTCTAACAGATTTTGAAGCCTTAACTGTAGATATAGATCCTGTGTAGTATAGATGAGTTTTAAAATTGTTTTTAATTTTTCAAAAATTGTATTCTTTTCATTAATTATTTCCCAAACCATTTCCCTAAGTACCCCAAAGGTGTTTCTGTTTGCCTTCCATGTTTTTACTCTTCAGATACTTTGTTTTACTGATGCCAACAGTGAGAAGGTAAAATATTTCCTTGTAAGCACTTACACATTGCTACAACTTTATAAAGTTGGAAGACAAGCTTTTACTGCAAGTACACTGTAGTGTTAATAATGAGAAAAGGTGAATGAAGATGCTGCAATACTATGTAAATGTGCAATGCAGATGCAAATTTAGAATAATCTTTTACCTCTTTATTACCTAATTTAATTCATTAGCTAAATTTCAGTTTTAAGTTTTTGATGTTTTGCTCAATTTTTTTTTTCTTCAGTTCCTTGATAGTTTCTCTTTTTTTATGTTGTTACTGTTATGTTATTTATATTGTTTTATGCTTTCACTTTGCTTTAAATTCAAGCCCAAGATGCAGAAGTATTGAAAACTTGTAATGAATAAAATGCCATAGCTTTTTGGTACCAAGTGTCATGTTGGTTTAGTGCTTCCTTCTCTGCACCTTTTGAGATCAGAATTTTTTCACAGCTTTCCTCTTATTTCGCTGATAAATATATGAATGCTTTTGACCAATCGCATTGAGAGATGCAAGACTGCTAAATTCTTTTTCATCTGGTAGTAAATTTTTCTGGAATGAAATTAAGCATTTTGGCTGCAATCATGCATATTACCTATTTCTAAAAAAAAAGGTTATTTAATACCTCTGAAATTATGCCACTGAAAATTTAACGAGTGATGGTAATGGACTTCTATAAACAAACAACAACTTAGTCGACATAAGAGACTGCTTTTATCACTTTAGTAATATCTGGATCTTGAAGGTTTGTGAATCAGCTATTTAAATAATTACAGATGCTGCTGTATACTTTAAAAGTGAAATAACTTAAGTAAGCCATAGATCTTGTTAATATGACATGGAAGCATATTTATGGCTTGTGGTTGAAATTCAAATGGAGAACCTGAATTACAATACCTACCCTTAATGTATAGTTTAAAAAATAATTAGTCGTTATGTTAATTACAGCTCTAAAATACTGAATTCTAATTATTTGTCATAAATTGTAAACATGAAATGCTTTTCTAAGCCTTCTTTAAAATCAAATTATTAGAGGAAGAAACTCACCCAGTGGATCTGAGTTCACTGTCAAGCAAATTACTACCTGGCTTCACTACTTTGGGCTTCAAAGATGAACGAAGAAATAAAGGTAAATACCAAAGACCATGTTTTAACTTTGTTTTTATGAAATGTTCAAGCAATTAATAAATAATATAAATATAAAATAATTTCAGTTTATGCCTGCTTATACTATGAAAGTTTGCATGGTTATTTTTATAATATATAATAATTCCATTAACAGCAGAATGCAGCTTATATTAAATCGAATATTTTACGTAATTTAACGTGATTAAATTAGCATTTTATGTATTAATATTTTACCTTAGTGTTATAGCCACATTATAAATTTTCCAATAATGGTAGTCCATTTGCTCTGGGGGAAATAGTTTTTCCATAGTAATTGCACTTACGGTTGAAAAACAACTTCCAGTCATTTGCATTTTTGCAATATATGACAAAGATTTTGCAGACTATGAATTTTTTTCCTGGTATTATTGACAGTTTTTAATAGTTTCTAATCTGCTGTCTAGAATCTGACTGGCAGCCAGCAGTAAAGTAAATGCATACAAAATGTAGGACAACACAAGGGAATGTAGCCATGAACCTTTTTTTTCTCGGAGTGGGGTGGATAACATAGTACTCGATTTTTCAGTAGTATGTTTGTTTATGTGGTTAAAATAGTTATGCTGATTTTAGAGTCTGGAAGTGTGCTTGAGATGCTGCTGTTGCTTTCAGATGGGGGAAAAAATACATGGCACTTTTGTATCTGTTGCAGAAAGCACAGTCTTTTTTTTTTTTTTCCCCTAAGTGATCTTGAACTCTTGTGCTAATCATTTGTTGTGTCTTCTACCTGTGTAGTAACCTTTCTTACCAGTGCCAATACAGCACCTTCCTTGCAAAACAACTCTATATTTCATGATTTGAAACCAGATGAAATGGAGCTCCTATACTCAGCATATGGTGATGAAACTGGGATCCAGTGTGCCTTAAGGTAAGGCCTTCCTTATTAGGAAAGGCTAACTTCTCATAGCAATTTTTTGCAAAGCAATTTAAACTAGATCTCAACTAAAAGCTTCCAAATCCAGATTTTTTTTCTAAAACTTATTTTTAAAATAAATCACTACAAAATTTGAAGCTAGCTTTCATCCTTCTTGATTTGTTTTTTGGGTTTTTTTTGGGTTGTTTGTTCGCTTTTGGATTTTTGGAGATGGGGAAAGTTTTGGGGGGTTTTCCCATTTGACCTTTTAAGCTATTCTATTTCATTGCAAGGTTGTTATAGATCTTGTTATTAGGGTCTTCAACAACAGTATATTATAGGTTACAACAGATTTAGTGTTTTGGTTTAAACCCAGCAGTAAATAATTTTAAAAGGCAAGTAATATATTTCAGTGGCTTTAAAACAATGATGCTTTTCAGTGGGTTTCAAAAGAGTTAATGCTACTTGAAAAGAAAAATGTCATTTATCATTAAATTATC